TTTGTGCTGGATCCCATCCTCAGGGAACTTCTCACTCTTTAGGATGTATCCTGTTTCTTTGAAAATAAGACCTCCCTGGATAATAAGCCAAATTGAGCTTTAGAGCACCTGCACTAAAATAAGACCTCCCTGGGTAATAAGCCCAATTGAGCTTTAGTGCAGGTGCTCTAAAGCTCAATTTGGCTTATTATCCAGGGAGGGCTTATTTTAGTGCAGGTGCTCTAAAGCTCGATTGGGCTTATTATCCAGGGAGGTCTTATTTTCAAAGAAACAGGATACATCCTAAAGAGTGAGAAGTTCCCTGAGGATGGGATCCAGCACAAATCCAAAAGCTTAGAAGAACAAGCCTCTGGTCCTGGTGACTGACTTAGATTGGATCCTGCAACATTATTCTGGTGTCATGAGCAAATACCCTCAGAGATGCAATCTTGCAAATAAACTAGTGTCATACTATGTAACATCTCATTAGGTCTTAAATCAGTGCTTTTTTAGTTTTTCAGTTCTGTTGGTGGAGGACATTTTGTTGTTAGTTGTGAAGTTGTGTTCAACGCATCGTGACCCAATGCACAACGTTTCTCCAGGCCTTCCTTTCCTTTGAATAAATTAGCTGTTAAAATCAGTACTCATTATTTCTGAGTTTCTGTGTTTCTGCAGAAGGGAAGGTTGTTACTCCAAGTTTCAATTGGGTTTTCCCCAAAAAACACATTAGTTATAAATAGTTCTTGACAAAGATCTGAGCAGGTGTAGAACCTATAATTGTGAATGTTCAGATTATCATTCAAAGAAAGCCTGTTATAGGTAAACATTTTGGTCTTTCAACATATAGGGTACCATTAAATTTCTTCTATGCAGAGGATTTGCTAATTATAAATTCATTTTATAATACCCCAAGATCACATTCTGTTTTATGATACATAATTTTCTTTTAAGTTTAAAAGATTTTAATAACTTTAAATACTTCTTTTCAAAATAGCATATTGTTCTGAGTATCAATGATAGGCATTTTAGACTATTGCTCATTATAGATTTTGGCAGGAATGAGTATCTGTCACAAATGGGTAGTTAAGAGAACTGGTTTATTGTTTGGAATTCTTGGTATCTTTGCAATACAAGCTACCTCTCAAACCTGAATTCATTTACTCTTACGCATTTTCATGAAGTTGCCATCCATTCTTTTTAACTTCCACTTAAATAATTGTTTGCTTTTACCTTCAGAATATAGTTATTTCATATGTCAATTTCTTTTAAGAACTGCCTGAGGTTCCCTTAATTGAAGAGGAAGTACAAGAAACAGAATCCTGGGCCAAGCCTTTAGTCTATCTTTGGCAGAACAGAATACCAAATTTTACTGCTGAAAAGGAGCACAATGCAGCTGTTGCCAAGTTGGAACCCTATTGTGCCATTTGCACACTCCTCAAACCTTACTATAAGGTAAGGAAGTTTTTATTTGAAAAATAAAAGTGCAGCTACACAGAAATTCTAGTACTTACACAATATTTTATTGTGAAACTACAAAATATCTCTCTATTCTTAACATGTAAAGGTTTGAAAGGTAAATACACCTCCATCCAGCATGTCAAAATAAGTACTCTAATTCAAGAGAAGTTTGTGAAATCCTAATACTTACCATTATAAAAGGAAGGAAGNAGAAGCACACATTGGCTTATTAAGATTAAGATTTTCAATATCATGACATTGTAATCATCTACAAAATGGTGTCAACACCAACTCCATGAAATGTGTTTATTTCAGCCTTTTAGACCTTTGTCGATTTGTATTTTAAAATAAAATATTGCATGAATAGCTGAAGTTCACTTTCAGTAAAAAGCTAAAGTTTATTTTCAATATAAAAAACGTATACTTGTAAGAAAAATATAATTATCTCAACTCCATGCAGATTTAGATTTGCTTGTTTAGCATTATTTTAAGAACACAGTAAAAAAGTTACAATAGGAGTCAGATTTGTTTGCATTTTCCCAACAATTGCATGCTTGAAGAGTAAAAGTGATATAGTTTCACATTAAAAGCACTATTAAAATGTTTTATAATTACTGCTGTTTTTAGGTATGTCAGAAAAGTAATTATAGAGGTGTGTGTTTCCAAATTAAGATTAGACTACTGCATTACAGAAGTATCTAAAATTTGCAATTAAATAAAATACTCTAGTCTCAGTTTCCCTGTCTGATCTCTGCATAGCATTAAAGAATGTAAACAAATATATAGCTGCCTACCTCTGTTTCTCAACAATCCATATCCATGCATTGACAATAGCTTCTTGACTGTCTCAATTTGAGAGTCATATTTGGTGCACTCTTTCAACTGATTACAACATCTGAAGTTGTATGTTACCTAGAAAAACTGGTTACTTTTACTCTTGCATTCTCACTGTTTTATTGGAAGCTATGTAGATGCAATTGTCCACAAAGATTTTCTTTTCATATCAAAAGGCAGTCAGTCTAATAGCAAGGGTATGATTGCCACAAAGACTTTGGGGCTTACATCTCAATAGTGCCATTTGTCTGCTTGCATATGACACAACGCAAGTAGTTATTAAGGGTTTTCTTCATGAAATACTAATACTGCATGTCGGTAGTAAACAGATCTTCTGAGCCTAAGTCCTGTCCACTTGCAATTTCTTTTGCACTCAGAGGTTACTAGTGGTTTGCAGGCAGTTCAGGATCTTATTTCAACTATCTAATTGTCAATAGGCATTGGATAATCTGCATCTAAAATCGATGTATATTTCTAGGGTGTATAACTTTTAAGGAACATCATTTATTTATTTATTTATTTATTTATTTATTTATTTATTTATTTATTTATTTATTTATTTATTTATT